ATCCATTGCTTGAGGAGAAGTAATAGTTTAAGTTTGGGGTGTGATAACTCCATAAAATAGTGTGCTTTGTGTTTTTTTACTTAGGTTATTTTTTGTCTAAAAGTCATTTATCATGGCATTTTAGTTGTATATAGTTGCATTTAGGACATATTTGCATGTGGTGGATAAGTTTTGCCAAGGCAAACTTTATTTAGATTATCTGATGTTGCTAAGGAGGAAGGTTGTTTGTTGGTTGTGTTGATGCAGGAAATGACTAAGGAAGAATTCATTTGTCGAGACAAATCAATTTGCTAGGGCTAGTGGAACATAAGAAGACAATAGTGAGGAATATATTTTCTTGCCTAGGCGAGATATGTCTTGCAAGTCTGACGCAACTCAACAAAACTTCTAATGTCATTTACCCAGCTTGAACCTCACGTTCAATCATGCCCTCATTAAGTTAATTAAGACCACTGTCAACTGCTATATCATTCATAAAATGGGTATGACATCAAGGGTATTTAGAGAATTTCCAAGGGAACTAAACCTTAGAAATTCCTATTATAAATACCCCATTATAACTTTCATAAGGGGAATCAAGGAGATGCGAATATACGCTAGTCTTGGAGCCACTCAACTGTCTTTGGTTCCCTCCATAGTCGGGATTCATTGGAGCGACGACCAGGCTCTCGAGAGAGGTTGGTCGCCAGAACAACCATGGTGGTGGTCAAAATGTCACGATAAATCTCAGTTTTTTGGAGTTTTTCTTCATTTTCTTTTCTTTTCTATATTATTTTAAGGGTTGTAGTTAAAGATTGATTTTTGGATGATATTTACCATACCATAAACTATTATGTTTGGTGTTGGATGATGCTTGGACGACACTTTATTCAATTATTAATGAATGATGCAGTTTGTTTATGCTAAGTATTATTTTTTTCATTGTGTTAGTACTTTTCCTTGATACTGTAAAAGCTTTTGAGAGATTTCTTGGTGCCACGGCAAAACATTCCTAGTCTCTATAAGAGCTTTCAAGAGATAGCCATTTTTCTAGGAGTATATGCCTAATATCGAGAGACTAAGGGTAGATCTACGTGAACAAGGGAACTAATTCGGGATGGTGAGGCTCTAATATGCCTTAGAGATAAGGAAAGGGTTTTATTCGACTAAAAAAGGGTAAACACTTGAGTAAGATAGGCAAAAGGCTACAATTTACGCTAAGGGGTATTGTCATAGCAATAATTTGACAAACAAAGGGTTGTAGTTCACGTCGAGTAGTATTGTTGTAGCAAAAGACTTAGAACACTCTAGTAAATCATGTCAGGCACCACATGTATAGCATTCTGAATTATCTTAGATGTAAAGTAATTTGTCACCGTAGCAGGTCCAACTCAAGTGCTCTGTTAGAAGTTTGATTGTGTGAGGTTTTTGTGAATATATTACACTCAAACATTTCTTATTTCCTTGACACTTTTTATTTGTTTACCTTTGCATATTTTTATTGCCTCGACCAAACTTTTCTACTCATTACATTTTACAATTTTTCTTGCCACAACAATACTTTTTTAACTATTCATATCATTAGATGCTACTCATTTTTCCTTTGCGAATATCATTTGACAAGAATTGTATGACTAGTTAGTGACACCTAGTTCTAGTTGTTGCCAACATCAAAAATTCCCACCAATCCTTGTGGAGACGATAGCTCACTCACTACTATATTACTTACATCGATTGTGTACACTTGCACATATTTGCTTGCATTAGTGTACACGTTTACAAGCGAACAGTCCTCTTTATGTAAGGTTGAATTATTCTTTTTGTGGTGTATGCAAACTGGTACGAAGATAAACTTAGGCTTTTGGTTTGCTCGTGCCTTTGAGCATGTTTTACGATCTTGTCGCCCACTCATTCTCGATTCTTACATAATTCACCTTGTATCTCGACTTTTTCCATTAACCATTTGATACTGCACAGTTTACTTATATTTTTTCCATGGATGCTTTAGATGCAAGGTGTTTGGACACAATGGGACTCCTCGTTGACACTCTCGACGTACCTCATATCATTCCTCTCGGCACCATTACACCTCGAAATCAGTGAGTTCACCTTCGTAGTACCACACCATAATCGGCATCGACAGAGAACCCAAACAACGAGATCCATAAAGTTCACAGACATCTCAACTCCATCGAGGCTAATCTTGCTGAGATCTTGTTCTACCTTCGCTTGGGTACATCTCATCGTGTCAGCGGTCGTAATTTGACCAGGAAATATTTTTGTTCCCTCTCTTGTGCTTTTTTTTACATATTGGGACAATATGGTCTAAGTGAGTGGGTAGAATTTGCATATGAAATTTTTACCTTGCTTCTTCGATTGGATGGAATTGAGCTTTCGAACGTTGATATGTTGGAATTTCTTGTAGCGTATCTTGAATTTTACTTTATACTTTAATTTCATTATAAATCGTGACCATGCTTTTGTCGAACTTAGGTTGCATGATAGTTATTGGCATAACTAATGGTTTTTTGTAATTTTTTGATTGATATGTTCTTGATTCAGTACATGTTAGCCATTCATGTGACACTTGAGCTTAACGAGCATATATTTTCATTCTTGCTCACTATTTGGTTGAGTGTGTTGGACTAGTTTTGTATTCTAGAACTCATAATCTAAATGCATATCGAGACTACATGTTAGACTTAATGTTTTAATGTGATAGGGGCACTTAGGATTAACCCACTCTTATACCCAAATAACCTACTCATTTATATGTCCATTAGTGAACCACTTTTGAGCCTTTATCATTTTTCTTTGTTTTTTCCACATAATTAAACTTGAACCTTTTATTTTTACCTCTCTTTTCTACCCTTATCAAGACAAGAAGATTAGTTACTTGATTTAATGTATGTTCTTTAGTTTTCAATCATTTTTATATTTCTCAAAAAAAAAAATCTAGTTCAAACAGTGCATAAAATAGAAGAAAAAACATAAAGGAAAAAAATTAAAAAAAGAAAGAAAAGGGTTCCAAAAAAAATGTGATTGATGTTTATGTTTATCTGTTGCTTGTGGTATTAATTTAATGAAGTTAGGAATCATTTGTACATCTATTCTCTTGGTACTTAAACCCATGATTATGACCATTTCCCTACCCTAACCTAAGCCCCATTCAACCTTGTTTTAAAGACCCCTTGATTATTGCATTATGTTCACTTTTAGTAGTGGAGACTTGATTTGATTCCAAACTTATGATAATATCTTGATTAGTTGTGATTTGAGTGATTTTCTTATACCTTAAACACTTTGAATGAAAATGAGTGAATCTTTGAGAGGTATTGAGCTTTGTTTCATTGATGTTGGCAAATAATTGGGATATCTTGATTTGCTTAATTGTATCTTAATTTCGACAATTATTATTGTCTTAATTCATTTGGAAATTTGAGGAATAAAGTATTATTAAAGATGGAAACTTGTGGTTTTGGTGTATTGATTAAGGAATGCTTGAGGATAAGCATTGAATAAGTGATGGGAATTTGATAGGTGATTTATTTAGTTACTATTTTATCTTTAATTTCTCATTGATTATTAATTTATGTTGTTGATTTGGTCGTTTTAATTCATTTTCCGTGCAAGACCTCAGATTCCAGGAATTACAGTAAAATGACGAGGTTCTGTAGTTTTTATTATTATTATGGAGTCAAGGTTGGATTAGTGGGCATGACGCGTCTGACATGACATCTAGTCAACGGCTTTTAGAAGGTTCAGTTAGCACTTCTAGAAGGACGAAAGATTCAGCCTCATTTTAAAAATTTAATTAGAAATTATCTCTTGTTTTTAGAATTTAATTTGAATATTTTTCCAAAAATTATCTTTTATCATTTTTTAGGTTTTACAAAGCTATAAATACCCTCTTAGGGTATGCTTAAAAACACATTCTGAATTACCTTTGTTCTTTGCTTTGGGATTTTATAAAGTTTTCTTTTTCTTTCCCATTTTATTTTTCAAGTTTTCTTTTCTTTTATTATTTTAAAGTGTTAAGTATGATATCTATCATACTTAGCGAATTTTACAATAAGCCAATGGCTAATGTGAAGACTCAATTCTAATTGTGAGAATTGAAAAGCACCTAAAACCTTTGGGTTATTTTTCACAATTTTCTGCAAATTAGGATTGGGAATCAACTTCTCCTTTAAAAATTAAAATGCTTATCTGATTTAAAGTTGGTAGGAAGAATTGACTGGTAACAAGTTCGACTTCCAGTGAATACATTTATCAGTGGTTCGTTAAGGGAAATTGAGATCAGACTCGATTCTCATTGAGACAACAAAGTTTGTGTCGGGTTTTTCCAAATCTTAAAATTGAGTTGGCACTGACGACTATAGTCGTGGTTAGTCCACATAAGGACTGAAATTAAAATGTTGCTTTTGGATTGTCGGTTTACTAGAGAGAGAAACAAGTTACAGGGGTTATGCCCTATAGACTATAACCGGCAGTAATACGAATTAAAAATCTTATTCGATGACCAGTTGAAATTGAGGCAAAGCGAAGCCTGTGGCTATTTTACCATAATTAAATTTTCATCTTAATTTATTTTCTTCAATTTTCTTTAGATTAAATTCTTTATTTACTTTCAAATTCTACAAACAAATCCCTCCATTTTTACTATTAATTTCGCCTACACCAGAATCAAAAGACTTTAATATCAACAGCTCCAAAGTCCATCTGAATCGATCATTCTTCTTTATACTATCATTTTATTCATTTTATTTGAGATTAAGGATTATCATTTGATAGTAAAACGATGATTGTCATAAAGAAAAATAAAGATGCAATACAAGAAAATAAAAGAAAAACAATGAATGTTAGCGGTGGACAATCAACACTAAAGTTAGTGTCACCGCTTATAAAAAAAAAATAAGAGGGGAAGCGGCCTAAGTTCATAGAAGAAAGGGGTAAGCGGCTGATCTGCATGTTATTATTGGATGTAATCGGAATGCTTATAGAAATCGGGCATGACATGACTATACATTTGCTTTTGAAGATGATAGAGAAGCCATAATTTTCTTAAGGCATATGTTATACGTGAATGGGCGTTCTAGATGAACTAGATGACCTGTTTTTTCTATGTATTCTACACTCGCTTTTTCTCCAATTTGCCTGCCACATATAATTATTTCAAATCAGTTAATTAACATCGACAAAAATGACAAGAACAATGAAAAAAAATCAAATGTTAATAATAAGATTTAATTAAATTAAAATTTTATTCCGAAAAAAAATATTTGAATTAAAATTAAAATGTTAAAAGTGAATTTTTTTTCCAAAATAGTAATAACTAAAATAATTATTTAAATAAACGTTAAAAAAAATTTACATTATAACAAATGAACAGTAAACATACTCTTTTACGCAGATGGCAGTATCCAAGTCAAAAATCCGATCATTCCTCCCCCACAAAAGATATATCTTCTGCAATAATTTACCATTGTTGAAATATTAAGCGACTCCTTTTAATTTTAACTATCTTTACGGAAATTAAATTAAAATTTTTAAAATTATATATATTTGTTAATTATATTGATGTATTTTTGATCTTATAATTTAATTTTTAAGTAAATGAATTTAAAGTTAAAATTTAACTATTATAAATTTTATGATAAATTATATAAAATATAAGAAAAATAGTACTTAACATGAGAAAATAATTTAAACACAGTAGGAAATAATATATATATATATATATATATATCGGTTAAAATTTACTTATACAATGTAAAACTCTTTAGTTTTACACAGATTTATAACTATTGGATGAGTGAAAATAGATGGATGAGATTAACACTAAGAAATGAGAAAATATTCACTCGAAAAAAAAACAAGGAGTTAATCTCAGCCATCTATTTTCACTCATCTAATGGTTCTAAATTTGTGTAAAACTAAAGAGTTTTACATTATGTAAGTAGATCTTAAACAAAGAGTTAATATCAGTCATCTACTTTTACTCATCCAATAGTTCTAAATATGCGTAAAACTAAAGAGTTTTAGATTGTATTAATAAATTCTAACCCTATATCCATGTGAAACTAATGTATCAAGATTATATTTATATATGTGTGCGCCCACGTGCATACGTGTGTACGTGCACTACGTGTGTAAAAAAGGTAGCCCATATTATTCTAGTAGTAAAGTAACATCATTAAAATTTTATAGGATTCAAATTCTACCCTTTTTTAGTTATAAAAAATAAAAAAATTATATAAAACAAATTATAAAGTAATAAGATATTTTTCTAATAATACCATATTATCGATTAAAAAACTATTCGAGATCAAACTTAAAATCTAATATTATATAAGACTATATTTATAACAATGAAACTATATAGTTTTAATAAATTTTTAAATGAATAATTGATCTGAAATTATAATTTTTTTATATAATGTCTGAACTAAATTATAACAAAATTCAATTGCTTTGCCATTTAATTATGTTTTCTTTTAAGACATATCCATTATCTAATTAAATTTAATGAATTATAAAATAATAAATATACACATAATCAATATATAACATTTATTTATCACAACCACTATAGACATGTTGATTATTAAATAACTCTTTTATTGCCTTGTAGTTTGTGTCAATTGACTTAGATAATCTTTAAAGATATGACATTTCTAAAAGCTATCTACTACTTAATTATATACAAAATATAATACCAATATCGTTGACTTCTTAAACATTTAAATTATTTAACAAATCTTCAGTTAAATAATAACTTTATCTATTTTAAAATATAATATTTCCTTGGGTAAATTATACGTTTAGTACACAGTTATCACTTTTGTTTCATTTTAGTTAGTTAACTGTTTTTTAAAAAAATTATACCTAACGTTTAGTTTCAATTTTATTTTAGCATCGTCTGGTTAAAAAATTAATGTTGATGTTGATGTGTCACCATAAGGTAATGTTATATCATCATTGAAAAAATTAAAAATATTATGTCAATAGTTCTATTAATTTTTAATAGCGGATGACTATAATAGAACTAAAACATTACGTTAGTGATGATTTTAAAAAATATATATTTAAATCACCAAAACATAACCTAAGTGATAGCAAGATAACTAAATACATAATTTAGTCTAAATAATAACTTTATCTATTTTAAATATAATACTTTAAAAAATACCTGATGGAAACTAGGGAGAGTAAATTCTTCGTCGCTGATGACCAAAGCTTGTAGGAGTTCCACTTTCTCCTTTCTAAAAGTACAAATTCCCTGTCATAGTTTTAAAATAAAAAAATGAAATAATTTGATTTTACAAAACTAAAGGTTAAATTATACGTTTAGTATCTAAAGTATTACTTTTGTTTCATTTTGGTATCCAAATTTTATTTTTTTCAAAATCATACATAACGTTTCGTTTATAATTCAATTTGGTAATCGTTGTTAAAAAATTAACAAGATGTTGACGTGACATTTTTTTTATTTTTTTCAATGATGACATGAGGTTATCTTATGGTGACATGTCAACACTACAGTTAAGTTTTTAACAACGGAATACCAAAATGAAACATAAACTAAAACTTAGGTAAAATTTTGAAAAAAAATAAAGTTTTGTTACCAAAACAGAACATCAGTAACAATTTATGTACTAAACCTGTAGTTTATCCTAAAATTAATTACCTCCAAAATTTCTTTGTAAATCCAATTCGGCAACTTTGGAAAACTCTCTGAAGCAAGTTGAAGGAGAGTTTCAACACCCTCGACTGAGTCAGGAAGCAAATAATCTGCCCATCTTTTGAACCCTAAATGATCGAGTCGGGCTTTGCTGATCGACTCAGTCAAAGCAATAACCGAGCAGCTGACCACCATGGACTCGACCAACTCAGGGTAAACCTCAGCTATCTTAAAACCAACTATTCCTCCATAACTAAAACCGACCAAGATACATTTTTCGACACCTAGTTTCTTCAACCCTTTAGCAATGCACTCGGCCTGAAACTCCACCGATCTCAAGGTCCTGTCGGTGCTGGAATCGCCGAAGAAGACGAAATCTGGGACATAAACAGAGTAATCTTTGGCTAAAGCTAATGCCTGAAAATGCCATGTTAAGATGCCGTCGAGGGCAAATCCATGGAGGAAGACGACGGCAGGCTTTTGGGTTGTTTCGGTTGGGACCCAAATATTGAGAATCGTTCCCGACTCTATCTCTATCTTTTGAGGCCTTATCCCAGCTAGCTTCAATACATAATGCAGAAAAAACTTGTATATATTGATGAAGCTCATTGTGTTGTAAACTTTTTCTTTTCTCTTGGCTCAATAGAGAGATTAAGGTCTATATAGAATGTTGTACCACATTTATTATCTATTTGTAAACATATATAATACGTATAAACATAAACAATATATAATATACATTTATCACGATCACATTCACACGCAATGAAAAAATAGTTTAATAATACACAAACGAAAAATAAGAAATAGAGTGTTATGTATATAAAATCATAGGATGTTTATAAAATCATAGGATGTTTTTTCTAATAATACCATTTTATCGATTTTTTAAAAATAAAAAATCTAATATCAAACTTAAAATTTAATATCATATAAGACTATATTTTTAACAATGAAACTATATAGTATTAATTAATTTTTAAATGAATAATTGATCTTAAATTATAATTTGTTGATATAGTGTCTGAACTAAATTATAATAATTATGTTTTCTTTTAAGACATATCCATCATCTAATTTAATTTAATGATTTATAAAATAATACACATATAAATAAAAGAGAAAATAACCTCAGTGACCAAAAATCTCAGATAATATACGATTTTGACCAACTTTTTTTGGATTTGCGAAAATGACCAACAAAATTGCAATGTGATCTCTAATTCGCATTGCGATCTCCACTATCGCAAATTCGCGTTGCGATAGTTGAAAATCGCGTTGCGATTTTCCATTTCGCGTTGCGATAGTCTACAGTTGTCGTTGCGATTTTCCAAATTCGTTGCGAAAATTCGTTGTGATAGTTAAAAAAAAGATTTTGTTTCTTAAGAATTTTCTCTAAAAAAATAGTATCCGCGCGGACGTGTCGAAGACACGTATTACCACGACCACGACCACGACCACGAGACGAGACGAGACGGACTACGGCGGCGGCGCGCGAGAGTCCCCCTTGTTCTTTATCACTCAACAAGAAAGTGAGAAAGTCAAGCCTTAAATACCATTCCCAATAGTGTTTCCAATACTATGTGGGATTTGAGCATTACCAACACTTGTTCCCAATACTATGTGGGATTGAGCCTTAAATAGTGATATTATTTTTTAATGTTTTGCTTAAAATTGCAATAATCGCGATTGATTGTAGATTGACTTTTAATTATGACATATTTAATCGTATAATACTAATGCAATTGGTTGCTGATTCAGTTGTTTTAAAGTGCATGATTGTTAATTGTTTCCTGAATAATCACATTGTATTGGAAACAAGTGTTGGTAATGCTCAATCCCACATAGTATTGGAAACACTATTGGGAATGGTATTTAAGGCTTGGCTTTCCCACTTCCTTGTTGAGTGATAGAGAACAAAGGGGACTCTCGCGCGCCGCTGCCGCCGTCTCATCTCGTCTAGGGTCGGGTCGTGGTCGTGGTCGTGGTCGTGGTAATACGTGTCTTCGACACGTCCGCGCGGATACTATCTTTTTAGAGAAAATTTTTAAGAAACAAAATCTTTTTTTTAACTATCACAACGAATTTTTGCAACGAATTTGGAAAATCGCAACGACAACTGTAGACTATCGCAACGACAACTGTAGACTATCGCAACGCGAAATGGAAAATCGCAACGCGATTTTCAACTATCGCAACGCGAAGTGGAAAAGCGCAACGCGATTTTCAACTATCGCAACGCGAATTTGCGATAGTGGAGATCGCAATGCGAATTAGAGATCGCATTGCGATTTTGTTGGTCATTTTCGCAAATCCAAAAAAAGTTGGTCAAAATCGTATATTATCTAGGATTTTTGGTCACTGAGGTTATTGTCTCTAAATAAAAAATATATCATTTATTTATCACAACCACTTAGACACATTGATTATCTAATATACATTTATCACAATCACATTCACACTCAATGAAAAAAATAGTTTAATAATACACAAATGAAAAATAAGAAATTGAGTGTTATGTTTATAAAATCATAGGATGTGTTTTCTAATAATACCATTTTATCGATTTTTTAAAAATAAAAAATCTAATATCAAACTTAAAATTTAATATCAGATAAGACTATATTTTTAACACTGAAACTATATATTATTATTAATGTGTATAAAAAAACTATATATTATTAATTAATTTTTAAATGAATAGTTGGTCTTAAATTATAATTTGTTGATATAGTGTCTGAACTAAATTATAATAATTATGTTTTCTTTTAAGACATATCCATCATCTAATTTAATTTAATGATTTATAAAATAATACACATATAAATAAAAAAAATATTTCATTTATTTATCACAACCACTTAGACACATTGATTATCTAATATAAATTTATCACAATCACATTCACACGCAATGAAAAAATAGTTTAATAACACACAAATGAAAAATAAGAAATAGTGTTATGTTTATAAAAGCATAGGATGTTTTTTTTCTAATAATACCATTTTCTCGATTTTTTAAAAATAAAAATCTAATATCAAACTTAAAATTTAATATCAGATAAGACAATATTTTTAACAATGAAACTATATAGCATTAATTAATTTTTAAATGAATAATTGATCTTAAATTATAATTTGTTGATATAGTGTCTAAACTAAATTATAATAATTATGTTTTCTTTTAAGACATATCCATCATCTAATTTAATTTAATGATTTATAAAATAATACGCATATAAATAATAAAAAATATAACATTTATTTATCACAACCACTTTAGATACGTTGATTTTCAAATAACTCTTTTATTTCCTTTTAGTTTGTGTCAATTAACTATAGGGTGTTCAGATCCAATTCGATCAAAAAAAATAATAGAAATCCGATCCAAAAAACCGATAACCGAAAAAACTGAAACCAATTTAGTGTTTTTGGTTTTTCTAAAAAAACCGATCGGTTCGGTTCGATTTGAAAATCTAGAATCGATTCCAAACCAAACCGAATCGATGAAATAGAATATTGAATTTACAAGCTAGCTTGAAACAAACCCATCAAAAGCCCCACAAAATCTCATAAAACCCAGATACATATACATATTCAGCTTTCCTACACGCACACAATAATTTTGCTCCAGATTCTAGTCATCAATGCCAATGAAAAAAAAATGGTGCAATAAATGATAATAGAAAAGAAAGATAATATAGTCTTTTGGTATTTCCTCAGTTATGAGGTAGAGAGAAAATTATCAGGCAAAACTTAGAAAATGTGTCGTTTTACTTTTATGGGTGACTTACTGACGAGAAACTGATTCGTTTCTTGATTTGTTAAAATATGTATTCTCTTTGTAAGCTTCACAAGCTTGCATTTGTTAAAATATATATTCTCTTTGCTTTTGTTATACATATGCTGTTTTTTTATGAAAAAAAATCAAGAATTATTTTGAAAAATTAGAATCCAAAAACCGCACAAATCCAAATCGAATCAAGCCACACTTAATTGGACTGGATCAGATCATATTTTTTAGAAACATCCAAATCGATCCAAACCGCAAACATTTATACTTTCGGATCGGATGAATTTTTAGCCAAAAACCAATCCAAACCGACCGTGAACACCCCTACCTATAGATAATCTTTAAAGATATGACATTTGTAAATGCTATCCACTACTTTATTATATACAAAAATATAACACTTTCTTAAACATTTAAATTATTTAACAAATCTTCAGTTAAATTATAATTTTATATGTTTTTTAATATAATATTTTCTTAAATAAATTATATGTTTAATACTCAATTATCACTTTTATTTCCATTTTGGTCAATTAATTATTTTTTTCAAAATTATACTCAACGTTTAGTTTTGGTTTCATTTTAACTATATGTGATTAACAAATTAATGGTAATGCTGATGTATCACCATAAGGTGATGTCACATCATCATTAAAAAAATTAAAAATACTACGTTAATAGTTCTATTATTTTTTAACGGTGGATGACTAAAACAAACCAAAACGTAAAATTAGTGATGATTTTGAAAGAAAATATTTAAATGACCAAAATAGAACCAAAGTGGTAGTTGAATAGTAAAATACATAATTTAGTCTAAATAATAACTTTATCCATTTTTAAATATAACACTTTTCTTTTTTTTAAATTACCTGATGGTAACTATGGAGAGCAAATTCTTCGTCGCTGATGACCAAAGCTTGTAGGAGTTCCTGTTTCTTCTTTCTTTCTAATACATATTCTGTCATAATTTTAAAATAAAAAATAAAAAATAAAAAAAAATCAAAAATCAAAAAAATCAAAAATCAAAAAAATAAATAATAATTATAATTATAATTATAATTATAATTTTCTTTTAAATCTAGTTTTACAAAAATAAAGGATAAACTATATGTTTAGTACCTAAAGTATTACTTTTTTTAAATTTTGATACATGAATTTTTTTAAACCATACCAAACGTTTAGATTAGGTTTCAATTTGATATTCACTGTTAAAAAATTAACATGACTACTGATGTGATATTATTTTTTCAATGATGACATGTGATTACCTTATGGTTACACGTCAATATCATCGTTAAGTTTTTAATAGTGGAATACCAAAATGGAACATAAACTAAACGTTAGGCATGATTTTGAAAGAAAAATAAAGTTTAGGTACCAAAACAGAACAATAGTAATAGTTTATGTACTAAACCTGTAGTTATCCCAAAATTAATTACCTCCAAAATTTCTTTATAAATCCAATTCGGCAACTTTGGAAAACTCTCCAAAGCGACTTGAAATAGAGTTTCAACACCCTTGACTGACTAAGTCAGAAAGAAAATAATTTCCTAGTTTTTGAGCCCTAGATGATCGAGTCGGGCTTTGCTGATCGACTCAGTCAAGGCAATAACCGAGCAGCTCACAACCATATACCCGACCAACTGAGGGTAAACCTCATCCATCTTAAAACCAACCATTCCTCCGTAACTAAAATATACCAAGATATATTTTTCGACACCTAGTTTCTTCAACCCTTTAGCTATGCGCTCGACCTGAAACTCCATCGATCTCTCAATCCTGTCGGTGCTAGAATCGTCGAAGAAGATGAAATTCGG